GAGAGACTGTGGATGAGCAAGAGGGAAAAGAGGTCAAGGATAGTCAGCAGCTAACCCTTAGCCGCCCGCTTTCTCTCCTTCCTTCCTTCCTTCCTTCCTTCCTTCCTTCCTTCTCTCTCCTCTCTCTTTCTCTCTTTCTTCCATGAACATTTACTGAGCAACCTGCTCGGAGCTCTGGAGCTGAACCCACAGCAGAGAATGGTCTTCAGCGTCGTTGGGGTGCAAACCCCGGGACTAGCTGACCCCCTCGCTGTCAGTCTCGGTTTCCTCATCTTGCCCCTGTATACCTAGGGGTTGTTCAAGTTAAAATCAAAGGGCACAGAACCCCCAGGGGATATTCATTGTCCTCTCCTGGAACACTCAGATCTCCACAGCCAGGTCCCTGTCCTCAGTGAGCACAAGGTCCATGTCCATGTGGGGACAGGTGAGGCACGCCCTGGATCAACACGGAGCTATGTGTCACTAGACTAACCACACCATTGGTGCCCAGGGCTCAAGGCAGGTGTGGAGATAGTACTGGGGAGCCAGGAGACATGGGGAGAGGCCACAGCAGAGAGTTTACCAGGACTCTGAGAGCAACAGAGAGGGGAGGCCTAGATGAATAGGCTCAAGAGCCAGAGCCTGGTGTGTCCCATGTGCCAGGACAGGACTTGATCTGTCCAGCACTGGGGAGCCATAGATAGATCTTGAGTAGGAGCAGGGGACACCGGCAGACTCAAGGCTGCGACAAGTCTGGGGACTAGGCAAACTGGGGAAGGAGATCACATTTGCCCCTTTCCAAGCCCCTCCACTGGGCAGGGGGCATTTGGGCACCATAGGGAGTTTCCCGTCGGCCCTGCCCAGTGCAGCAGGGTCTGTGAGGTTGAAGAAGGACTGCAAGCTTTCCAGAGAGCCCCCTGCTCCAACGGGAGGCACCCGCCTGGGGCATGGGAGGCAGCTGGCGTCCTCCAACCCTGCAATTAGAAGAGGAGTCAGGTGGCAAGGAGGGCGGGTGAGAACTGCGGCTGTTGCCCGGGCACTGCCTGTCTCAGAAGCCCCACCCGCTGCTTCAGAGGGATGCCCAGGGGCTGGAGGGTCTTCAGGTAGACAGGGCACCAGGGTCTTGAGAGGGAATCAGAGCCATAGCCCAAGCTAGGAAAACAGACTTATAAAGGAGGCTCTTTGGTGGAGTCTTGGACGCTCAGCTGTTGTTTTCAGGTGCCTCGGAGTCTAGCCCACCTCAGAGTGGATTCAGATTGGCTTAGAGCGGAACATGCCACCTCTGCAGGAGTAGGGGCCAGCTCTTCCTCACGTGGAGGCGCTCGAATTGCCACCTCCTGGCTAGTCATTGAGCACCCACTCCTTTGCCATCGGGGCTCCTGTGCCCATTTTGCAGATCAGAAAATGGAAGGTCAGAGAGAAACAGGAGCTTTTCAGAAGACACAAAGCCAGTCAGAAACCAGGTGAGGGTCAGTAGCCCGCTGGTCTGTAGAACTGGGATGTAGAAGGCTCATACATGGAGTGGGTTCCAAGGCAGGGAAGCTGAGGGACCGGCTGGGGCCGTCAGGGTGGCCAAGAGGCCATGGGCGTAAGGTGAGAGGCGCCAGCGCTCACAGAAGACAGAGCTCAGAGCTCCCTGGTCTTCACCCTGCAGGGAGGGAGGAGCTGGGTGGGGTGGTCTGCCCTAGCCGGTTCCCCAGCCTGTCTGGGCACTTGGGCCTGGGAGGAGGCACTCTGTCATTGCTGCCCCAGGCTGCTGTGGTTCCCAGGACTCGGCCCTTCTGTCTGGGGAAAACTTCCACTTTCCCTTGGGCTGAGCAGCAGAGAGGCTGGTGTGGGGCCCATCAGGCTGATCTGATCTCAGCTTCTACCACCCACCCCTCCCTCTCCTCTTTGTTCTTCCAACACTCAAAGATGCCAGTAGGCCCAGGGCACTGTGCTGTTACTGGAAGACTCTCTGCTCGCCAGAAGCGGTTGGGTACTCACACCCAGTAGACTGAGCTTGGTTAGCCTTGACCGGAAAGGCCAATCTGGTGACCATAAGAGGCTCTGTAGAGACTGCAGAGGGTGGGCCGGCTGGCCACAGTGCTTTGCAGGTTTCAGGTGGGGATCATAGTCAGGGGCCTGACTTTGTGTAACTTGGGGACCTTTATTTGTCCATCAGCATTAAATGGGATGAAGGCAGCCTCTGTCTCCCAGGGCTGTGACGACGCATACAGGATAGTGAAGTGGATGTTAACTGCTCTTGGCTGTTGCCCTGGAGAGCTGGGCCACTGACTGAGTGACATGCGTGCTTGCTTGGCCCGTCTCTCCCTCAGAGTCTTCAGCCAGTGCGTCCTCATCAGTCTCCTTTCCTGCTCAGAGACTCTGGGCCCGGAGAGAGGGGAGCCTCCAGGAGCCAGACAGGAAGCTGGGAGAGGGAGGCCCAGGGCCAGGCTGGAGAGCATGGTAGTAGTGGGTGTGGCCCCCTAGATGTTTGTACCTGGAGCAGCTGCCGCTCAGCCGGCTGTGGCTGGTGGGTGCAGGTTTTCGAGAAGGAAATGGCGCTGTTACAGGAAAGCATCCCAATACTAATACAAGCAGCTGCATTGACAATTTTTACGTGTCATATGAGCCAGAGATACTGCTTCTGTGGGCTGATGCTGCTGTCATGGCGCCGGCATGACTTTTGTTACAGGTCAGAGGGGAGGTCGAAGGGCAGCAAGCAGAGAGGCACGCATTCCAGGCCCAAATGGTCACCAAACCCTGGGAGTGACTGTCCCTTCCCTCTGCTCGAGACTGGCTTCTTCTCCCTGTGCTGTGGAGGCGAGGGGCTGGAATGGCCCAGTCAGAGACAGGAGGGCCTGGAATGAGGCCCCCGCTGGACACTATCTGATCGGAGGTGCCAGGGAGTCTGGGGGCGCCTGGCCTCCTTGGTGAGGTCTGCTCTGTGTCTGAGAATGGCAGGTCAAACGGAGGCCTGGGGAGTCAGCTCTCAAGCCTGCTGTCAGGGAAGGCCTGGCTCCTGGGGGTCAAAGGGCAGCATTTCAGTCTGTTCAGGGGACAACTTCCTGCTTGGTAGAGCAAACAGAAAGCCCCCCACAGGAAATGGTCCTCTTCCTGAGGCCCTCTTCCGCTGGGTGGGGGGAGTGTAGTGGGGGAAGAAGTGTCCTTCTGCTTCTCACCTCCTCCTTCCTTAGCTTTCCACATCCAGGCGGGAGACGATGGGGGAGGGGGAGGGAGGAGGCTTGTTGCCATGACAACAAATCCTCTCTAACTAGCATCTTTTTTTTTTTAAGCTTCACGACAGGGAGGGAGTTTTCTGTGTTTGTGTTGAGCAGACAGACCCTGGCTGGGCTCCTGGAGTTGCCCTCCCCGCCTCCAAAGTTTGTGACACTCACTGTTTCCAGGACTGTGGCTTCAAGGGTTTCTCTCGGCATAGAGAAAGCAATTAAGGGTAGCCCCCAAGTACAGCAGAGAGCTCTCGTAACTGAATTTAGACCCCTTGACACCAGGCTTCTACTCAGGCCCCAGATCCATCCCCCTTGTGCCTCCTGGAAGCAGGAACGCGGCCCTCACCCCATGTTAGAACACTAGAACCTCCTTCTGCAGAAAGTGGGCCCCGCACTGAGAACTCAACTCGGGGGGGGGGGTGTCCCGAACCTCAACTCTGGGAGATTCAAAACTGCTGTCTCTAATAACCAATTCCACCAGATTTAACAGACATCTGCTGGCTACAGATTTAGAAATTAGCACCAAAAATAAAATTAAATTTCCTGCGATTTCACTTGTCAGGGCAAGTGACATTACTTATTGCACCCATACCTCTGGGTAAATGTTCACCTGGCCTTAATCCCCAGGAACAGAATCCACCCGGTGGATCTCTCCTGTCTAGACCACTCTTCAGGTATTTTAACTATGACTAAGCTTTAATGGGAGGTAGTGGTGGCTTAGTGTTAGAGTTTCTGCTTCCCATGCGGGAGACCCAGGTTCAATTCCCCACCGATGGACCTTGCACACAGCTACCACCAGTCTGTCAGTGGAGGCTTGTGAGTCACTATGACACTCATCAGGATTCAGTGACACTTTCAGAATGAAATGGATTAGGAGAGAAGGCCTAGAGAGCTCAGAGAAGTGGCCAGTGAAACACATTCTGATCACGTCTGATTCACAGCTGATGATGGGTTGGGCTAAGACTGGGCAGCACTGGGCTCCACCGTGCCCCCGGGGGTGGGGGTGGGGGCTGAAGCTGGGGGCAGGCTCGATGGCGGTCAACAATCACCTTTATTGACACCAGAATTAACCCAGTTTAACCTCATGATGGCGCCGGGACATTCAACTTGTAGACGGAGAACTGGGGCCGCAGAGAGGACAGGGATGGTCTCGAGGTTACACAGGCAGCAAAGGGTAGGGGCAGAGATTCGAACCCAGAATCCAGGCCGCTGGCTGCGAGAGCCGGAGTGGAAGCACCTTCTTCTCCAGATCGCACGTTGCTTCTTCCCCTCACACAGGAGCTAGATTCCAGACCATTCTGCCACCCATTCCTTCATTCACTGATTCTCTCACACAACCATTCTTATGTCAAGTGACTTCACATTCCCGAGCCAATGCCAGGCGAAGGCCGGTACTGTCCACACCCCAGAGCCTGCCCATCTTTGCCAGATTCTCAGGACTCTACTGGGAGAACCTGAACGCCATTTATTACAAAACACTGGGCTCATCGCACTGTATGGTGGACAGCCCTCCATCGCTATCCCTCACCTCCTGAGGAGGGTCCCGGGTGAGGTACCTCACAGGCCTAGGAGTGGTCCTGTGATTATAAAACCAAATGAGTCCAAGTCCCCGGAGCCATATGTATAGTGTAGGTTGGTGACAGAACCAGCGACCTCCACCCAGGGGCAGGCCGAAGGAAGCTGTCTATGTCTGGGTGATCCAGCCCACAGTGAGCACAAGCAGCTGCATTAGTGGGAGTGACCGGTCACCGTCTGGGGCACCCGCGGCTGTGGCCCGGACCAGTTCCTCCCTGCCTGGCCCAGGAGGTTCTAGGCCACCTGGATCTGCAGGTCTTCGTCCTCATCCAGGTCACTGGTTCCATCGCCGGCCTCCTCGGCACCAAAGCGAGCACTACGGATCTTCCCGAAGAGGGGGGCGTTCTGCTGTTGCCTTCGGAGCCTGTGTGGGCAGAAGTGGTGGGGTCGGGCGTCAGAGCTGCCGCCCGCCTAAGTGGCCCACCTCCGGGGCCAGGCACCATGCAAAGCTTTTACACACACACACACACACACACACACACACACACACACACACACTCTCTCTCATTTTACAGAATCCCTTATCTGGAGGTGGTGATTATTGTCAGCTCACTTTACAGATCTGGAAACTGAGGCACAAATAGTTCAATCACATACTCAAAGCCACAGAGAAGAGGTGGGGAGGGTTGGACGCTGAGCTCAAGCAGCTGGCTCAGCATGGACCAGTTGGCCACCGAGGAGAAGGTGTTGGTCAAGGTCACACTGCTGGGATATGAAGCCAAGCTGGTCTCTGAAGCCCACACGCAACAGAGTCTGGGGTTGGAGGGCTGACCCCCTTGCATCCCTGATGTCAGTGGCAATGTCTTCAGTCTCCTTCTATTAAAATTCCTACAGTGAAAATGACGAGGCAGACTCGGGTTTTGGGGAAAAACTGGTGGATTTTCTTCCCACCCCCGCCCCCAACCCCGCCAGCAAAGGGTCCCCCCTGGCTATACCTGTATTAATTTTCATTTTGAAACAATATTTTATTGTGTTTTAGGTGCACGTTTGCACAGCAGATTCCGTGCCCCTTTAAGTTTTTACACAGATCGTTTCCGTGTCACTACTTCAGCCCTGGCTGCATCTTACTGGAAGGCATGAATTATTAACGGGCAGGGAGGGGCCGGGCAGGGGCTTCCATTACTGCACTGTGATTTAGTGAGCTGTCCCCGCAACATTAAAGCACAACAAGTTGCAAACTAAACTGAGGGCCCCACCCTTCCTGATGGAAGCCCTGGAGAGGCTCCCTGTCCATTTTGGGAGTTTATGGCTCCAGAAGAACGTGAGAGACTCGCAGGCCCGGGATGAGGGGGTGGTGCTGGGGGAGTGGGCAACCCCACCCACGCAGGGCTGCGCCTGGAGCCCTGCCAGGCTCACGCACAAACACTCTCAGGGAATCACCCCAAGCAAGCTTCATGACAGGCTCATTTCACAGATGCGTAAACTGAGGCTGGGCTAGGATGAATGTCAGGAGGAGTCTGAGGCTCAGGTGCTCCTGTCAGTCACAGGATGTCCGCGCAATTCCCTGAGACAGCGCGCAGGCTCTGGGAGGAGGCTTCCCTGCCTATCCTACCCTACTCATCGGCTGTGCAGGTGGACCTGGCCCTTTGTACCTTAGTGTCTTCCTCTGCTGTCACTTAAGACACAATGGTTCTGCCTTCCCATCCTCATAAAAGAGGCTTGATGCTTACAGGACAATGTCCCGGTGAGCTGACTCTTAACTCACACTGACCCTGTGAACCACAGATCTCAATCTTGCCCTGTACCGTGTCCTCCTCACAATCTCCGCCACACTCACGTCACCGGGTCAATCCAACTCGTGGAGGTCCTTCCTCTCTTTCTCTGACTTTCTGTCTTTCCCAGCAGGATGATTCTTTCCAAGGTCCCTCTTAACAGCACGCCCAAAGTCTGAGAGATGACGTTTTCACTCTCCTTGCCTGCAACGAGCACCTTGCATGCACTACCTCCAAGATGGTGGTGTTGTGTACTGTAGAGAGTCAGAACCGACCCATAGCTGATAGCTAATCCTCCCGTGGGTTTTCTGAGGCAGTTTCACAGAGGAAAAGATTGTCCAGTTTTCTCCCGTGGAGCAGCTGGCTGCCTCGAACTGTGTGCCTTCGGGATTGCAGTGCAGCTTCTTGCCACTAGGCCACCAGTCCCTTATTCTTGCTATTTATAAATAATCTTCCGCAAGATTTTACATTACAGATTGTAATGATATTGTCTGGTACTTTCTGCATTTTTAATAATGGGGACAAATATAAATATTTCTTTAATAAACAGGAACAAATATGGATCTCCTCCAGTCAGTTGGCCAGGTAGTCATCTTCCAAATTTCTCAACATAAACTAGTGAGCATGTTCGGGGGTGCATCTATTTGTTGAAATACCTCAGCTGGCATTCTACCAATTCCTGGGGCCTGATCCTTTGCTAATTCCTTCAGTGTAGTTGGCATTTTCCCCTTCATGACCACTGGTCCTTGATCAGACGCTAGCTCCTTAAATGCGGCAGCGTCAACCAATTCCTTTTGGGGCAGCGACTCTGTTTTCCTTCCATCTTTTTTTACTGTTTCCTGCGTCACTCAGGATTTTGCCCGTAGCATCCTTCAGTGTTGCAGCTTGATGCTTCAATCTGTTCTCCAGTTCTTTCAGTTGGAGAAATGCAAAGTGTGTTCTTCCTCTTTGGTTTTTAAACTCTGCACGTTTCATGATAACACTGTTTTGTCTTCTCAAGCTGCTCTTTTTCTTTTCTTCAAGCTGCTCTTTGAATCTGTTCGGCGCTCTTACTTCAGCTTTTCTTCCCTGCGTTTTGGCATCTCTACGTTCGAGTCCAATTTTCAGAGTCACTCTCTGACATCCATTCGAGGGTTTTCTTTCTTTCTTGTCTTTGTAACGACTTTTTGCCTTCATCATGGTTGCTGTCCCTGATGTCATCCCACAACTCATCTGGTCTTCAGTCATTAGTGTTCCAGGCATCAAACCTATTCTTTTAGGAGATGGTTTTTAAATCCAGGTGGGATAGACTCCAGGTTGTGTTCTGGTTCTTGGGGACTTGCTCTCATTTTCTCCAGCTTCAGTTTCAACTTGCACATGAGTAATTGATGGTCTTTTCCACAGTCAGCTTCAGCTTTGTTTTCACTGCAGATATTGAGCTTCTCCATCGACTTTTTTCCATTGTTGTAGTAAACTCAATTCCTGTCTGAGACCCAAATAGAATCCTCACCATCCAGGAGTGCTTGTGGCGGTGACGGTGGTAAAACGGAGGATGCTGGCACAGCTGACGGTTCTTTAGCGCTGGCCGTGTTTCAAGGACTTTTACGGGCATGGATCAACTCATTACATTCTCACACAGAGAGATAAGAGCTAGCTTGAGCCCCACTTGATAAATGAGGAATCTAAACTCTGACACAGAGAGGCCAAGTAACTGGCTAGAGACCACACAGCTCCCAAGTGTAGGGACAGATTCACCCCACCCCAGGGGGTTTGGAGGTAGAGCCTGGACTGGTCAGAGGACCCCAGACTCCACAAAGTGAAAGAATATGAGAAGAGTGCTTGGCCCTGCCCCGGCACAGGAGCATTAGCTGGTACTGTGGCGCGATCCTGCCAAAGCTTCTGGACTATGAAGTGGGAAGGACTTGAACTTGATCTTCTGAGATGTCTCACAGTTAGTTCTATGGGGGCTGCAGAACAGGTGAACTTCACAAGGTAGTGGAGGCAAACGGAAGGAGAGGGCAGGGAGGTGGAGTGTGATGGGTGAGCCCTCCAGAGAACCTTCAGTTCTTCCTCACTGAGGCTGCAGTAAAGGAGTGTCCAGTTCCCAGTCGGCCCGAGGCCACCCCAGCCCATCATCCTTCTCCTCAATGACTCCCCAGACCCACCGGTCCTATCCTGTCCCTGTCCTTGGGCCTGGCCTCTTTGCCTGGCCTCTTTGCCTGTCCTTCCTGCCTTCACCACCTCCCCCTCCAACCACCCACCTGCACGCTGGAGGAGACAATTCCAGGGCCCAGCTGCTCTGACTTCCTGCACTCCCGGTTTCCTGGTCCCTGGCCCCATCCCTTCCTGCCTGGAGGGGACAGGAGCCTGGCCTGGGAGCCCAGAGCCTTCTCCTGCCTTTCCTTCTAGCCTTGACCGGAATTTCACCCCATACAGGGAGGCTTCTTCCCTGAAGTCTCTCGGCCCTCTCCTTGCAGGAGCCTGGTCCCCAACACCTGGCTGCACTCTGGGGCCTACCTGGACTGGAGGTGCTCCAGCTGCACCTGCAGGTTCTCGCTTTGCTCTGTCTGCTCGTCCAGTGACCGCTGCAGCTTGCGTGCCTGGTTGTGGGCCTCGTCCAGCTGGGGGCGAGCAGGGCCAAGAACGGGGGTGGGTCACCTTGGGCAGGGCAGCTAGGAGAATATCCCCTGCCAAGAGCCACCTTCAAGGCCTACACCAAGAACTTCCTTTTTCCTTCCTGGCCAGTCGCCATCCCTGTTGACCGTCCCAGCCAAATCTAGGCATCCACCCACCCACCCTCACCACTCACCTCCCAGTCTATCCGCACACATCTGTCCACCTGACCACGCATATATTCATCTGGCCATGAAGATACCCACTCGGTAATTATTAACCTGGTCAGCCATCTCACCACCCTGCTTGTCCAGCCATCCTTACACCCTACTGGCCACCTAGTCCTTCCCTCTTCTGTCCACGCCCTCTTCCACCCAGCGATCTGTTAGTAGTCCATCCATCATTCCATCCATTCACCCAGACATCCACCTTTCTATATACCCTACGGTCATCCATCCATCATCTGCCCGCCACTCACCCATTATTCTATCCCATCATCCATCAGACATCACTCACTCCCCCTGACTATCTGCCCACTTATATTTTTCACTCCTTACATTTAAGCATCCATACCTCTACCCACGAATCTGTTTACGCACTTACCCACCTCGTCTGTCCACTTCCCCTTCCATCCTCCTGCCCACACTCCATCCTCATCACACCCACACACTATCCTACCATCTCCTTAGTCCCTCTACCCTGAGCACCCCCAAGAGGTAGGCTCATGCCGCGTCCTGGGGACCGAGCACAGAGAAACACAGCCGGGCTCGGCAGCCCTGTTCCTCTCTTGGTCGAGGTCTGCGGCCACCACCGTGGCGCCCCGGGCACTTACTTCATCTTCAGCCTGGGCCAGCTCCTTCTTGAGCTCTTCCACCCTCAGACGCAGTTTTTTCACCTCGGCCTCATGCTGCTCCACCCGCCGGTTGGCGTGGGCCAGCTCTGCCACCTTCTCCTGGAACTGCTTCTTCAGCTTGCTGTGAACGTGCTTCAGGTCCGCCAGCTCCTGCCGGGAAGCAGAGACGGAGCAAAGGAGGTTCGGTGTCATGTAGGCACCAGGCTAGGAGGGGTCTTAGGGGGTGAGGCAATTCTAGGGTTGATGAGTGTCCCCACTCCCTAGAATCTCTCCACCTACTGTCTGAAATAGCAAAATTACAGCTCAGCGTCTCTAAGTTGCAGCTCTGAAGGTCTGATGTGTGCAAGAACTCCTGGGAGGAGCAGCGTCTGATGACGCCTCCTTCAGGAAGTCTGCCTTGCTTGTCTCAAGCTCTTGCTGACCCAATTCGCCCTTCTAAGTCTTCAAGCAAACGTGCTCAGTACCAAGTCAGTGGAGAGGAAGGCAAGCTCATGGCAGCCCTTTCCAGTCACCGCGGCCCATCCTAACTGGCTTGACAGGGTTTCGCCCAGGGACCTCTGCCAGCTGTCCCCGTGTCCTTGTCCCACTGCATTTCTGCCAGTCACGCCTTTTCACTCAATTCTACCTGCCAACACCTGCCTGCCAAGTGAAATACCCCGATTGAAACACTCTTTTAAGGCAACCTGAATCCCCACGTGGAATGACACGTTTCTTCCTCTGAAGTTCATGGGTGATCAGCTTGGGAGTTTCAGAGACCTGGGTTCAAGTCTGGCTTCACCCACTTATTCAACAAACCCTCCCTCAGCACCCACAATGAGCCTGCAAATTCAGGGGGACCTAGAAATCCAACTTTACAGAGCTCACACACACAAACACAAAACCAGCACATTAGGTGTTAACAAACACTCGGAGAAAACTCAAGCAGGGCCAGGAAGGGCCAGGGCCGGAGCAGGTGTCATTGAACAAATGGCCACAGGGGTCATCTGAGGACGTAACCTTGAAAGGAGGTCAGGGATGGAGCAAGAGAGAACCTGCAGAGATGAGAAAGCATTCCACACAGCGGGCACGACAAGTGTGAAGGTCGTGAGGTGGTCATGAACTTGTCTGTGGCTGATGGTCAGTGAGCAAGGGGAAGTGAGAAAGCTGCTGTGGCTGGCAGGGTGTGGGCAGGCAGGGCCTGAGAGCTCCTGGAAGGGCTGTGGGTTTCACTTGAAGCACAGTGGGAGGCATACAATACACGCATTATAAAGATGCCTGGCTGCTGGGCTCCCTAAGTGGTGAAGCCAGAGGAGGCAGGAGGCCATGGAAGCTGCCAGGAGGCTGAGGTAGGTGCTGGGGCCATGGAGAGAGGGGGTGACAAGCGGCTGGATTCTAGGAGCTGAATCAAGGGGGCTCTGGGAATGGACTGGGAGAAGGAGGGTGAGGGAGTGAGGACCAGGCACCCAGCAGCTGAAGGAGAGGGGTGGCCACGCTGGAAGGTGGCAATCAGTGGCTCCACTCAGCTAACTTTGAGATGCCTGCACACTTGGCCTGGGGCTGAGAGCCGGGACTTCAGGGGAGGGGTGAATCTGGCATCTTCCAGGGCATGTGGTATTTCCAGTCATGGTCTGGGGATTGGTGGAGAGAAAGGTGAGTAGGTCGGAGGCTACAGTTACTAGGAATGATATGAGAAGCCAGCAAAGGAGATGCCTGCCGCAGTTTCCACATCTGTAAAATGGGGAGAGGCACTGTCTAACGGTCTCAGAATCCTTCCTCCTTATTCCATTTTTATAAACCTCAGCCTGGACCAGGCCTCCATCCTATTTAGCAGCCCTGGAGGAGTGACAGCCCCGCCTGCCCTCTTGTTCGTTGGCCTTCCACACAGTTGAGCACTACAACTCCAAACACATTCATACTCCCTGCTTCTATTTCTACACTTCCCTGCTCACGCCCTCCCAGCCTCTGGCCTCTTGTTCCCCTAAAGCACCATACCCCTCTGATTGACAGCACAGAGCTGGGCTCTGCACAACACTCTTCACACCACTTCTCCACATCAGTTCACCACCACAGTAAGGTCTGGTTTTCCCCTGAGACTTTCACACAAAATCACATTTCCCAGAAGTCTTGACCGGACTCTGGGCCAAGGTCAGGGCCTCCGGTACTGCCTATCCTGCTGGCGTGCCAGGAGCACTTAATCTCATGACTCAGGGTGTGCTGCTCAAAATGACTTTCCTAGCCATAGACCTTGACTTTCACCACAAATGTGAAAACGGAGTGTGTTATAAAGTAATCCTTACGGCGTTGGTCAGCTTTTCCCTTTCCACCAAGTCAAAATGGAGTGGATTTAGTGGCGAAGGTGGGAATTTCACTATCAGCAAGCAAGAGGAAGTAGGAATACAGTGAATGTCCGTTGGGGCCTGACATTCCCAGGCCAGTCAGGACAGGATCTATACGAAAGCAGCCGTCACCTCAGTAGACCCCCAGAGACTGGCGTGAGACAGCTGACCTGGGACCGTGGCCCTGTGGAGCCAGGGCCAGGGGCCTTTGCTCAAGCTTGTTGAAGGACCGAAGGAAGATGCCGTACTTGGCAGGACTAGGGAAACTTTGTAACACTGACCTAAGCCATGAGGTTGAAGGACTAAGTGCCAGCGAGCACGGAAGATGCCGTACTTGGCAGGACTAGGGAAACATTATAACACTGACCTAAGCCATGAGGTTGAAGGACTAAGTGCCAGCGAGCACGTCTGAGAAGCTGTCCAGACTGAGGAATTGTGTCCTGTGGCCAACGTGAACTGTAACCTGTCGGCATCCCAATTAAGTTAGTAACTACGAGCATAGTTCTCTGAGATCTGTGTGGCCATTCCAACACATTTCAGACCCAGCAGAGCAGAAGGGCTGGTGCTGGGATGAAGAGAAGCAGATGCAGGAGCCTGGGGGACCACATCTGATCTTACAGGAGTTAGTTCTGTACTGTGGAGGCTGCTGACAGAGACAGTTCCCCTTTGTGGAGTTAGCGGAGGTCAGACCCGGCCGTCTTCATGTTGCCTACGTTCAATTTACATCTATGTAACCAGAGAGCTACGTCTGCTCCCTCCAGCACCAAGAGCAGGGCTTACACGCAGAAGTGGCTCAATCAGTATTTGCTGAATGAATGAGAGGACTGTTGAAAGGATTAAGCGATGTGAGGACCAAACGCAACAAGGCCTGGCAAACAGCAGGCCTAATGCAGTTATGATAAACGTATCTACTACCATCACCACTATGGAGCCCTGGTGGCTCAGTGATAAGGAGCTGCACTGCCGACTCACAGGCATGCAGTTCAAATCTCCCAGCTGCACCTTGGGAGAAAGATGGACAATCTCCACCTGTGCAACTTACAGCTTCTGAAAACCTGCTGGAGGGTCAACAGTGATTCGCCTCTGACTCAATGGTACCCTCCAACAGCAATCATCACCACTCGGCCCAGGCACACAGTAGGCATTTAATAGTGTTATTATCACCACTGGGCCTGGAACACAGTAGGCAACTGAAAAATATGGCTACTTCAACCATCACTGGGGCTAGTCCGCAGGAAATGTTCAATAAATTCAGCTGTTGATTATCATGAGGGTTGAACATTCAAGAGCTGTTTAATAAATGAGCTACTAGCGTTTACTATGGAACTTTGGGGGCCTAGTGAGGAAACAGGTGCTCTGCCAACTCCAAGGCCGGCAGTTCGAATCCACCAGCTGCTCCTCAGGAGAAAGATGAATAATCTCTTCTCATGCAATTTTCAGAATCTGAAAACCTGCTGGCGGGTCAGATGAGTAGCTCCAAGTTATCAGTAATGAGAGAGAGAGAGAAGAGAGAGGAAAGAGAAAAGAGAGAGACAGAGAGAGAGAGAAGAGAGAGACAGAGAGAGAAGAGAGAGAGAGAGAGAGAGAGGGAGAAGAGAGAGACAAAGAGAGAAGAGAGAGGAGAGAGAGATAGAAAGAGAAGAGAGAGAAGAGAGAGGAGAGAAGAGAGAGGAAGAGAGAAAAGAGAGTGGAGACAAGGAGAGAGAGGAGAGAGAGAAGAGGAGAGAGGAGAGAGAGGCGCGAAAGAGCGAGAAGAGAGAGGAGCGAAAGGAGAGGAGAGGAGAGGAGAGGAGAGGAGAGGAGAGGAGAGAGAATATTACCACAGGACCTTGCACAAAGTAGATGTGCAATAAATTCAGCAACTACAATTATCGCCAGGCACAGAGACGGACGTGCTCAATAAATGCGGCTCCTGTGGTCACTGCGGGACCCAGTGGAACTCAGGACGCTTCTAGGATGATCCCACCCCTTCCAGATTCAGAGCGGTTCCTGCCGGGGTCCCTGGATCTCCAGGCAGCAGGAGCTAGAGTGGGTGTCCGTCCAGGCTGGACAGGGAGCAGGGGCTGCCCCACCTTGCTCTTTTCGAAGAGTGCAGCCTGGCTGGCCCTCAGGTCACAGTCCAGGGCACTGGTGGTCTGCCGCCGCCGCCGGGCCAGAGCCTCCTCCAGGTCCCCGACCTGCGCCCGCAGCTTCTTGTTCTCCCGTTCTAGGCCCAGCTTCTCTGTCTCCAGCCGCTCCCGGCGTCCCCACTCGGCCGCGTTTTCTGCCTGCAGCCTCTCCATCTACAACACGAAGGGACAGGGTGAGGCTCCAGCAGCTGTGTCTGGCTGCAGGCTTGCCGCACGGTGTGCAGGATGCAAGCGGACCTCTGGTCTCTGTGTGCGCGCCTTGTGGATTTCTTCCTAGTAACTGGCCAGTGGAGGAAAGGCTGTGGGATCCCCGCCCCTCCCTGCAACCCCTCCCCGGTCCCGTAGCTGCCTCACCTCGCCCCTCAGCTCAGCCATCTTCCTGTCCATGCTGGACCGGGCTCCCAGCTCATCCTCCAGGTCTTCCGACATGCGGCCCAGCTCGTCCTGGTGCGTCTCCTTCAGGATGTTGAGCTGCAAGGACGCAGCACAACGGGGTTAGGCGAGGCCTCCTGTGAAGAGCGCGCCACGCAAATCCCAGTTTTCAGAAAAGACTCTGAATTTCACCCTTACTGCCTCTCCGGCATCTTTCATTGATTGACATCTTATCCTCCAGGTAACTCATTCTTCACAGCAGTAGCCTAGAATGTGCTGCTTCTTGTTGTTATGTGCCGTCGAGTCGTGTGTGACTCATAGCGACCCTACGTACAACAGCCCTGAAACCTACTCTGTGTCAACTATACTCTCTCTGACACCTACCCTCATTACCCCAGTCACTGTGTCAATCCATCTCATAGAGGGTCTCTTTCTCCATCCCTCCACCCTTCCAAGCATGACGTCCCTCTCCAAGGAATGGTCCCTCCTTGCAACATCCTCCAAGTATGTCAGACGAAGCTTCAGAATCCTTGCCTCCAAGGAGCAGCGTGACTTCACCCTCTCCAGGACAAACCTGTTTGTTCTCCTAGCAGTCCATGGTATATTCAATACTCTTCTCCAGCACCACAGCTCAACGGCATCAATTCTCCTTCTAACCTCCCTAGTCATTGTCCAGCTCTCTGATGCATAGCAAGCAACTGTGAAGACGTTGGCCCGGATCAGGCGCACCTTAGTCTCCAGACTGATGTCTTAGCAAAGGTAAACTCAATCCTATTCTCAAATTCTCTTTTTGACTCCTGGGTCCTTTGGGATCAAGTTGATCCCATCCCTGTGGTTCCACAAACTTCCTCTCACCTGCCCGCCTCTCTTCTCTAGGTTCTTCCTGGTCCAGACACAGTGGACTTTCTATGCCGTCTATACACCACGATCCTGGCCACCTCAGGGCCTTTGCACATCTGGTTCCCTGCTCCTGTGGTGTGTTACGGAGCTGGTTCATCTCACTCTCAGGCCTGGCCACGATGTCCCCTACTAAGAGAGGCCTCTCCTGTCCACTCGCCTGGACGAAGTGCTGTTTCTCCATCCCATTTCCCACTAGACTGTGAGTATGGGAGGCCAAGGGCCTGAGTCTGTGTGCTGACCTCTGAGTGCCCACAGGGTTTTTGGTTCAGAATGCTGTTGTTTCTAGGGATCACCACGTCTATTTTGATTCAAAGGGTCCCCACATAATAGCAGAACTTCCCCAGATTTCCCAGGCTGTAATCTTTCCAAGGAAAGGACATCATGCTGGAAAAGGTGGAGGGTCAGAGTAAAGGAGGAAGATTCTCATGAAGAGGGACTGACACAGTGATGGTAACAAGGGGTGAGAGTAGACCAGATATCACGAGGATGGGGCGGGAAAGGGCAAGGGGCAGACTGGTCGTTCACAGCGTCACTATGAGATTCAGTTGCTTCAATGGCACCTGACGCCACCACCACCATCAGCACCTCAATGTTCGCTGATGAAATGAATCCAGCAGCCTGCAGGACAGGGCAGGGCGGGCAGCAACTGAAGGGCCGTTAAAAACCAGACCCTTCACTGAAGATCAACTAGCAAGGACTCCAAACAACTGCCTGGGTGAGTCCAAAGTACATTTGTTGAGGGAAATAATTCAGATTCAGTAGAACCCGTATCATTATCTGCTGAATGGCACATTCATGTTCGGTTTTTTATGTTTGTTTTTTTTTTAATTTTTCTGTTACCAATTAGACTTTATTACTTGAGAAAATGAAAAGGATTTTTGGACCCAACCCCCGAAGTTAGCTGGGGTGGGCCTGGGAATCTCAATGAGATTCCCTAGTTGGGTTTCCTTTCTGGAGGAGACTGCCCGTCTTCCTTCAGACTTCTCTTGTTGTTGTCAAGTTAGAGCAGATGCCCAGCTGAGCTCAGACCCAACAACTCAAGGGAATCTTGCACATTCTGTGAATCAGGGTTGTAACCTTTCTCCACACACCTAGTCAATCTATTCGCCATGTAAATTTGAGAAGCTTGACTATATGAGGAAGAACGTGGCATCAGGATTGGAGGAAGATTCTTCAGCAACCTGCGTTATGCAGATGACACAACCTTACTTACAGAAAGTGAGGAGGACGTGAAGTACTTACCGCAGAAGGTCAAAGACTACAAGAAAACAAAAGTCCTTACCAAACTGGACTGGTACGTAACATCAAGATAGATGGAGAAAAGACTGAACGTGTCAATGACTTCACTTGAGTTGAATCCACAGTCAACATGCCCACAGCAGCTTGTTATCTGCTGTCAGTCAGAAGTGACTCAGTTGACCCTCTAGTGACTTTTCAGAGCTCTAAATAGTACAGGAGGAGACTGATCATCTTTTCCCGACAGAGCTGCTGATGGATTCGAACTGCCTGCCTTTGGGTTGGCAGCGTAACTCCTTACCACTAAAGCTACCAGACCTTCCATGAGAGCAGCAGTCAAGAAGTCAAAAGAGGTGTTACACTGGGAAACAATCTATCTCTCCAAAGTGTTAAAGAGCAAGAGCGTCAGTTCAAAGGCTAAGTCGTGCCTGATTCAAGCCAAGGTATTTTCAATTGCTTTTTATACAACTGAAAGTTAGACAATAAAGATGCCAGGAGAATCGATGCCTTCAACTGTGGAGAGCACACAGATTGACAAAACACTAAACACATCTGCCTCGGGGGTAGTGCAACCAGGATGTTCCTCGATCTCTCATACTTTGGGAATACTGTTGGGAGGGACTAGTCCTTGAGAAAAAAATTCCTGCTGCAAAAGGCAGAAGGTCAGTAAAATAGAGGAAGAACCTTGACGAGATGGGTTGGCAGTAACTGCAACAATGAGTTCAAGTGCATCAGGGATAATGAGCCTGGTGCACAACAGGGCACGATTCAGGTCTACTGGCCATAGGGTCCCTAGGAGTTGCAGTTGACTTGATGACACCTAACAACAAGAACAACACAGCTGAAGGTCTGGCACGTTTTGCACATACATCGCACGCGAGGAGACTGCCCATCTTTCTCCCCTGGAGTGGCTGCTGAGACATGCCACGTTTTGTTCAGCAGCACAACTTCCTAAGGACTAAGCCTCCAGGTATAGAAAATGCAGTTCCTTGCAGGGCTGAGGCCAGGTTGTGAGGTCTGAGGACCTCCCACCTTCCAGAAACACAGGGGATCCGGGCTGGCTTTCCCTGTGTCGCTGCGCCCCCTGGTGGCCATCAGGGCCTGCACAGGGGGCAGCCGCAGTGACCCAGCTTGCCCTTTGGCCAGAGGGTGACTCAGTTTCTCATCTGACTAGCATAAGGGCTCCGTAAGATCAGGCACGGACGAGGCGCTCAGTAAACATTATTTCTAGACTTCCTTCCCTCACTCTAGTCTAACAAGTCCTGTGAGATGCGGTCCTTCTTCGGCCTCACCTCTCACCAGCCTTCCCCATCCCTCCAGGGTCATTCCTCTCAGGACTTTTATACTTTCTGTGCCGCTATCTTCTCAGTGGCAGCGTCTTCACTGCTGTTTAAAGGCTCACTTGAAATATCACCTTCTCAGAAAAGACAACCCTAACAGGCAGCCCCCTGTGCCTCTCATTGTGATACCCCTGGACAGTCCAGGGGTATATCTGCCTGCTTACTGCTTGCCAGAGGCCCCATGAGGAGGACAAAGACTTGGCCCGCCCCTGTGCCCAGAATAGTTCCTGGCACCTAGCTGGTGTTAAATTAGAGAATATATTCCTTCTCTCTCTCTCTCCCTCCTTCCTGAAATCCAGCTGCTCCCGGCCACCGCCTTCAGGAAGCCCTCCTGCTTTCCAGGACTCACTTGCTTGAGCATCTCCTGCTTGGTCTTGCTCAGCTCTTCATACTTGATCTTCCACTGGCTGAGCTCCCCTTCCAGCTTCTCAATGCTCCGGCTCAGGGCCAGTTTATCCCTGCGAGAGGGGAAGGGAAGGGACAGACGTTGGTGTGAGCCCACGGGGCCCCCTGTCCAGAGTCCACACTGGCAGTGGTCCTGCTGGGCACTCCTGCGCACGATCAGACCATGTCCAGATTCCTTACGCTGGCGCTCAATGTCCTGGCATGGCCATACCACCTCATGTGTCCTCCCGGAGCTGAACCCAGGCCCAACGGTGGGTGCCCAGCCTGGGGTGTGGGGTGATCAGGTCACCTGGGCCAGGCCACTCGCCATCCCTGAGCAAGTGCCTCTGTCCTTCCCTCTCTGCCCCCAGCCCATCTGTTAAGTGGAGTCCCATGTCTATCTTCTTTATGTATTGTCCCCAGAGGGCCTGGCTTGTGCACACAGTCCTGTGGTTTGAAAGGCTGGGAAACTCTGCTTGTGGTTTTGGAGGAGAAGGACTTCCTCCTTCCATCACAACTCCTACCCTGTACGTGGCCTTGAACATGAACAAGCTAGGGTGTGCACACGGTAGGTTTGCAGCCACTGGCTGTGTGCACCATTCATCCCAGCATATAGTGCTGCCCGACTCACTCCCCTCCCGCCTTCTTGAGAGTGTGACAGGCCACAGGGCCTCAGACGGGCGATCCCTCCTCTGGGATTCATGGGCAGGATTTTGGATGTCACAGGGATTAGAGGGCCATTATGTGAGGAGAGTAATTCCAACACCCTGCAATACCGGGACACCTCATCTGCTTAGGAAATATCATGCAGCCTGTGTGCCGTGTACATGTCCACTAGACGTTCCTAGGCCAGAACCACCCTTAACTGAAACATAATCAGAAAGCACTACTTGCATTTTGACCCACACTCTTCTTCAGAGAGGGAGAGACTGTATACATGCTGGAAACAACACGTGGCTTCGTTCTAACTCTCAGAAATCCAGTCACCCAAGCAACATCCCTGGAGCACTCGAGCTGCCAAATCCGCACACTGGCTCAGCTGCCCCTGTCACAGTCTATGCAGTGATTTAAAGAGGCGCGTACCCGTGAAGCTCTACAGCGGCGGCCCGAGCGCATGTGCTCCAGGGGTGTCTCCTCTCACTGTCCTCATCACTACCAGTTAAGGTCTGAACTGCGACCAAGTGAATGAAAAAGATGCCCTGAGGTCTTAACCCCTGGGCCTGTTGTGGGTGTGACCTTAATTTGGAGGTACACTTTTTAAAGGCATTGTTGCCTGAGGTAACATGAGGTCGTGTCAGAGGGGCAGGGGCTGTGCCCGGTATGTCTGATGTCTTTGTAAAATGCAGGACAGAGACACAGTAGGAGGCTGGCCATGGAAAGGGAGAGGCAGGGGTTAGAGAGATGCATCTTCAAGCTAAGGACTGCGAAGACTGCCTGGAACCGCCCGTGGATGGAAGGAGGTAGCAGGCAGCAGTCTTCGAGAGCCTTTCAGAAAGAAACAGACACAGAAAGACAGGCAGACTGAGTGTATAAATACCCTAGCTTTGGATTTCAGGCCCAATGAGACGGGCTGACACCATGAGGGTGATGGTGGGTGAACACTGCACAGTTCGTGAGGCTGTCACAGGCTCAGCCAGGGCTTCACCGTGCTTCATGTGCTCTCACTGCTCCGATGGGAGCCGACTCGACTGCACCTAACAGCAACAGCCTCCGGAACCATGGAACAGTCTCTTCTGCTGTCCTGGGGCCCCCAGGGGGTGATGCTCTATTGAGAAAGCACTGGCAAGAAGCTGCGCTGCAATCCCAAAGACCCGCAGTTTGAATCCCACCGGAGGAGAAAGATGGGCAATCTCTCGTGTGATTAACAGCCTCTGAGAACCTGCTGGAGGGGGCAAGTATACAACAACAACCACAACCACCACCGTTTCACATAAAGGCACTCGATTCTGGTGGAGCTTGAGCATTATCATACATACTTTCTTTTAACCGCTTTCCTTCTGTTTCAACTTTGTCTTCTACTGGGGTATTAGGCTTATGTATTTATTTTTTTAGAAAATATGTGCGTGCTCACCACTGGGCCAATTGGCAGCATCAGGATGGATGGCGAAGAGATTGAGACTGTAAACAGCTTTAGTTTGCTCGGCTCCACAGTCAACACTCTTGGCACCAGTAGCCAGGAAATTAAAAGACGTATTGTGATGGGACAGTCTGCTATTAGGAACCTCTCCAAAGTACTGAGGAGCAATGATGCCACTCTGGAGACTAAGGTGTGTCTGATACAGTCCATGGTTTTTGCAATCACTTGTTATGTGTCAGAGAGCAATGATGCAACTCTGGAGACTAAGGTGATACAGTCCATGGTCTTTGCAATCATGTGTCAGAAAGCTGGACAAGAACTAGGGATGATAGAAAGATATTTGATGTCTTTGAGCTGTGGTGCTGGAGAAGAATATTGAATATACAGGTTCATTCTTGAGAGGGTTAAATCAGGCTGCTCCTTGGAGGCAAGGATTCTGTAACTTCGTCTGACATACTTTGGACATGTTGCGAGGGACCAGTCCTTGGAGAGGGACATCATGCTTGGGAGGGTGGAGCAAGACAGTGCAGGAGGGGAAGACCCTCTATGAGGTGGACTGATTCAGTGACTGGGGTAATTGGGGCAGGTGTGTCAGAGACAGTGTGATTGGCACAGGATAGAGCAGGGGTTAGGGCTGTTGTATATAGGGTCACTAAGAGTCGCAGGCGACTCGACGGCACGTAACAACAACAACATGAGCGTGCACAAGCAGTCATACTATCTACACATTCAAATTCTGGACAGAGAGGAGATGCCAGATGATACTCATGCGCTTCCTCCATGAAGCCTTTCATTCTCCCGCACAGATGGAGCCCCCACCCCCGTTTCTTCATTGGTCGCTCCCCTCTCTCTTTTGCTCTGCTTCCCTCTCTTACTGATCTCTAAGCTTAGCTGCTTATAATTTTGAGTCAGAACTGAGTCAAACTGACCCTCCAGCAGCTTTTCAGAGGCTGTGTATCACATGGGAGGAGACTGCCCATCTTTCTCCCTTACAGCAGCTGGTGAATTCAAACTGCCTGCCTTTGGGTTGGCAGTGCAACTCCTTACCACTAGGCCACCAGCGCTCCATAGAGCAGATGCCCGGGTATGCAGTATTTGAATAAGCACACTTGCATTCAGGCCTCTCAGCGCCAGGACTGGACACTAAACACCTTTCAACCAGTCAGTCTTAGGCTCTGTAACACCGCTTCTCTTTTTGGGTTGATTCTGCAGGCACCCCAGCATTTCATGGTCCAGCCCCTCAGCCGATACCCCAAGACTCACTCTCGTTCCTTGAGCAGCACCTTCTGGGACTCGTCCAGCCGCAGCCGCAGGGCGGTCAACTTGGACGCATCTTCCTCGGTGGCAGCCGCATCCTCCCAGGGCAGCCGGCTGCGCTCCTGGCGGCTTGAACTCGCCCGTGAGCTCCCACCTCTCACACTGCGTGTTTCCCAGCAGCCCTCGGACTCCTCTGGTCTGCTTTTCAGCAGGTTCTCCACCAGCTCCAGCTCCTGCAGGGAACAAGGTGTGCTGGACCAGAGTCCTCACCCGCTCAGCCTTCACAATGGCTTCTCCCAGGCTTGCTGGGAGCCCTTGAGCAAGGCACACAGCTCTCCAGGACGAAGCATTCTAAGAGGCTTGAGCAAAGAGGAAAGGCAGGCAGTTGGGTCCCCCAGAGGGTATGTGATGGAAAGACGGGGAATTTAATGAAGCCACAGCACATGACATAGCAAGGTGCAGCCTTCAGTTTTTCTTCTATAAAAAGTGGGGGATGTCTCTGTCCTGCTGCCTCATTATTCCTGAAGAGGAAAGGACTTGGACACCTTCCTCTGCGCCCCAGAGTTCTATCTGGAGTCAGTTACAAAGCTTTCTCATCTCCTTGAAGAGTCCTCGTCACTGGAAGCATGTAAGCATATGGCAGAACATTACTTGGTGGGAATGAATGTTACAGCCAGAACTCTGACAGCAGTTAACGACTAGATTTCCGTCAGTGAGGTTTCCAGCTCTATGATCCTCCTTTTCAGGCGTGACACCAAGGAGATGACAAAGCAGACACAGAGAGGCAGAACCAGTTCTCCAAAAGGAAGCCAAGTCACTTCAGTGTCTCACAGCTGACCCTCCAGTGGGTTTCTGGGGCTTTGAGTCAGACGGGAGATTGTCTCTCATTCTCTGGAAAAGCAGGGGGTGCCTTCAAACTGCCCGAGAGGCACCACCTTTGTGTTGGTAGCAAAACTCCCTACAGACTAGGCCATCGGAGTTTCTCCCCAAAAGGACGTGTTACTGTGAACTGTGGAGTCAGAACCGACTCTCGGCTGACCTTCCAGTGGGGTGTTCAGAGGCCGTAAATAGCACGGGAGGAGACTGCCCACTTCTCCCCTGGAGCAGTGGGCGGGTTCACACCTTTGGGATGGCAGTGCTGTTCTTTGCCACTGGGCAACCAGAGCTCCCTCTAGAAACAAGGAAGTGAGGGAATATAACCCGGTGCTGATACAAAGCCCATCAAGAAGCTCTGGTGGCAGAGGACATCACGCGTCTGACCGCTAACTGAAAGGCCAGTGCTTTGAATTTGCCGGCAACTCAATGGGATTAAGATGGGCAGTTTCTGCCTATAAAAATTTCCAGCCTCGGGGAGCTCTGGTGGCCTAGTGGCAAGAAGCTGCAACTACAATCCCATAGATACACGGTGCGAATCCACCAGATGCTCTGCCGGGAAAGGAGGGACAATCTCCTCCTGTACCAGTCAGATCTGATTTGATGGTACACTTACACAAAAATAAAATAAATTTTTTAAAAAATTTACACCCTCAGAAAGCAGATGGAAGGTTGGGCTTGACTCAAAAACAGTTAAGTTTCTGGTTTGGTGTTTGTTTTTTTTTAAGTGAGTGAGTCCATTAATCTCCCTTCTCCTCTGCCTCTGACCACCAATCTGATGAGTTTGTTGTTCTTGTCTCCAAAGAGAGCAGTGAGCGCCCCCTCCACACACCAGGCCAGCCGGGTTGGGAAGGGGCTTCATCCTCTGTGAGGCAGCAGTGCCTGTTCCGATCTACAGACGTGGAAGGGTTGGAAAGAGGGGGGGTGAGGAGGCCCAAGTCTTAGCTGGGACAGCTGGGGCCTCTAGGCGCAGGGCTGTGGGAACCTGAATTTGGGTTCAGGTAGTTTTCTTTGGACAGCCTGCTGGCTGGGGAAGATGCCCTCCACGCCCACCATTAATGCTCCAGACACACTTCTCCCATGGACTCTGCAGCTAGACTACTTGGGTTCAAATCCAGCACATTGCCTCCAGCTGAGTGAGCCTGCACTTCACCTCTCTGTCCTTGTGGTCTCCTTCCTAAAGCAGAAATCTCACAGGGTTGCTGGGAGAGTTAACAAAGACAGTGAGTGCCCCATGGTACTAAGTAAGGAGCGTATTTGATAATGCTCGGGGCCTCCCTCCAAGACTCTTAATAGCTCTGAGCTCTGTCATTACTGCTGTTTCCCAAGCTCACCTGGTGCTCTAGGCCTCGGGGCCTCTGCATCTGGACTGGCCTCCCAGCACTTTACAGCGCTAAATGCACATGACTTCTTGCACTTCTTAGCATCAGTTTAAATCTTCTAGGGAGGTTTCTGTGAAGTGCCTCCCCAGCCCAGAATCAGGCCCTCCTCTGTGCTCCCTGCCCTGACAACCAAGTTCAAGTTGAAGGACTTTTCAGCTGTACTATTAAGCTGATGCCTGGAGGAATATCCTGCTGTTTCCTGTATGACGGGAGGATACCCTGGTTCTCCCAATTTCTCCAGCTCGGCTGGGAGAGGCGGGATCGCCTGAACTTGGATTTTCTGTTGCTTGGAAAGGGAGAAGGGCTGTGTCCTTGTCAGAGAGCCAGACACACAGAATCCCAAGGGCCTGTCCTCACTAGCGCCTTCCAGAGAACCATCTGGTTCAGGTGACTGGCTCTTGCCCACCTCTTGGTCCAAGAGTAAAGGCCCTGTCCAGCAGTCCCGCTTGGATAGGAGCTACAACCCCTTCAGAACCAAACCGCTCTGCGCCCGCGCACCTGGCTGCCCTGGGGCCTCTCCGACCCGACGACGTCGCGCACCGGCTCACGTTCCTGCTCCGTCTCAGGACCGTCTGGTGTCTGGTCGGCTGCCTCCTGGATGCCCCGCAGCCGCGCCAGCTCGCGGCCCCGCGCCTCGCACTCGCCCTGCGCCTCCTGGCGCTCCCGCCGCGCGCCCGCCAGCTCCTTGGTGAGCGAGTCGAGGCGCTGGCGCAGCTGGCGCACCTCTTCGCGCGCACGGTTCCGCTCGGCGCGCACCTTGCTCCACTTCTCGCGCCAGTTGGCCGTGCAGTCCGACCACCACCGCATGGTCTTCTCCATCTGCGCCGCGCGCGCCCGCGCCTCCTCCAGCTCCCGCAGCCGCAGCTCTTCGCGGCTCTCCCAGTCCCCGTCAGCCAGCAGCGGGGGCGCCGGCGGCAGGAGCAGCGCGGGAGGCGGCCCCGGCGAGGGCGTGCCGCTGGGCGGCGTGGACGGCAGTGAGTCGGAGGGCCCCATGCGCTCCGGCGAAGGGCTGCCCAGGATGGTCAGCAGGCTGCCCTTGGACAGCTGCGGGGACTCGGCCAGCCGAGGGCTTGGCCCGTGACTCATGGTCCGGCTCGGCTGGCGGGCTGCAGGTCTGAGGTTCCAATTCCTGATACGGCTCAGGAGGGCTGCCAGAGGCTAATGGGGGCTGACATGCCACTGTGCATGATGGACCTGGCCGGCCCGGCCCACAGCTCTCCAGGCCACGAGGTGCGGGAGGTCTCCTTGGATCTGCGGGAGAATACAACCAGTATTAGCCTGAGGCCACGACATCGAAAAGACGGCACAGCGATGCGTTTCAGGTGTCCTGAGGGTGGGGCTGTGGTGAGCCTGGATCTCCTCCAGTGCCCTCTCCACTCCAAGGCGGCAGCAGTGACTGGTCTGCAACCTTGCCTGGCTGTCCTTGACCTTTCTAGTGCCATCTGCTTCAGGAGACAGTTTGTGCTACGATCCTTACCCCTGTCTCTAAGCCAGATTCAGTTACTGTTCCCACCAGCCTGCTCCTAGAAGTCACCTCTTACGAGTGGACCACCTCAGGCCACATCGGCTAGTCCCTGTCCCTATCTCCATTAGGGTGTTAACCTTGCTATACCAGTTAGGGTCCCTGCTTGCCCATGTCACCCCAGGCTAGGAGTCTGCTGTAAGCAGGGCCTGGGGCCCCCGGCCACTGTTTTAGTCCCAGCATGTGTTGATGGTAATGACATTTGTGAAGAGATCGTAACAGGCCATGCACCAGGCCCAGACTTTTATGTGAATAATTTCATTGGTTCCTCTTGACATACTTGGAGGCAATCACTGTCATCATTAACTGAAGATCATTTACTCGGCTCAATCTCACCATTTCACACAAGGTTAAAGTCCCTGAGTGCATCCAGGGAGCTTCCCAACATTTATGAGGACTTGTCACCATGCCCTCACTGGTAGTAAGATAAAATAAATCAGCCTCTATTAGATGGTGGTGACAGTGTCTCCTCCCCACTTCCCTGCCAGAGCCAGTCCCTCCCAGCCCCTTTCCCACAGCAAACATTCCCCTCTCTCTATCTCCTGTCTTTCATCCTAGAGCTCCCATGCCCACTGCTGGGCTCTGCCATCCACGGGCCACAAAAGAAATGAGGCAGATGTCTATCCCCGCCAGAAGCCTGCCCTGCACTCTCGACTTCAGTCAGTCCTGCTCTTTGGCCCCAGGCTGACTCCACCAGCCCTTCAAGACCACAAGCCCACCTTTCACGTAAGTCCCTGCCCCGCAGACCTTCTCACCAGCCTGAAGGTCCAGCGCCTTGTTGATCCTTTGTTTTCTGAGCTTTCGTACACTGCTGGTGGAAGTCTGGACGCTGCCTGCCTGGTGGTCACTCCGCCAGCTCACTCTCCTCTATTTTCTACCACTACCGTTTCAAACGATTACGATGATCCTTTGGCCAGAGAGCATGGTGCTGTGTAAGGGGGAGTTGTGTTGTGTTGTGGCGGTCTCTGGAGAAAGGCGACTCTGCCTCCAGGAGCCAGGGAAGCCACGCTTGGCCTTGGGTGGAAGGCAACAGCAGTTTCAAACTCAAAAGGGCCCGAGGGCCGCAGTCTTTCATTGTTTTTGTTCAGACATTCCTCTAGGTCGTGTAGCCCTGGTGTACAAGTTGCCGTCCCGCGGTCACTTGTGGTTGCTGTGAGGCTGAACCCTGTGACACTGGATGTGTCAAAAGCGTTAATGGCTGGCTACCCAATGCGGACTGAGAGTGGGGTGGAGTTCCCCACTTAAACAAGCGTGGAAGGAGGAGTGGCATCCACTTCCATAATAGCTTGCCTCCGGACACCCTATGAACTTGGAGAGAGGATGAAAGACACCCAAGCGTCGAGGACTCTCCTTCATAGGGTCGCTATGAGTCACCTGTGACTCGACAGCACTTAACAACAACAAAAACCGTTTCAAACCTCACCCCCTTCTAATCTCTAACCTCTCATTCTGCATTTGACCTCCTGTCAGGGTTGGCAGTGAACAGCAGAGTTGTCACATTACCATTCCCTCTGTCCTGCCCCAAGAAAACAGACAGCTTCTCCGTCCTGATGCTCCACTCCTCCCGCTTTGAAGGGGGGCTGTACCCACTCGCCGCCTCCCTTCTGCATCCTGCACATTCCTTCACCTTCAGCCCACTTCAGACCGGCTGCTAGCCCCACGGACCTACTCTGCAGGCAACTTCAGTCCTCACAAGTGTTCGCCACGGTTCTGGAATTGAAGCCCTGGGCTGCGAACTGAAAAAGGTCCGGTGCTTGAATCTATCAGCCATTCCGTGGGACAAAGACGAGGCAGCCTGTGTCTGTAAATATTTATAGCCTTGTAAACTCCATGGGCAGTTGTATTCAGTCCTTATAGGGGTGTTACGAGTAAGAACGGACTCTGACAGTGTTGTGTTCTTGCTTTTTTGGCCTTCCTTCTAGACACAGCTCCCGCTGGATCTCCTTCTCTTCCTGAGTTGTCCCCTCTGCGGCCCACCCCGCCCCGGATCTCCACATCTTTACCTGGTGCACTTCTTTCTCTAGTTTTTCTCTCTCTTTTCTCTGGGTGTCCCTCTCTCAGAACCTCACCTCAACTTTCTCATTGTCCTTCCTGCTGGGTTCCCCAGACTCATCCATGAACGTAACATCATCCATGCCCTGGTCTGAGTCATCACACGCGCCCATGCAGGTTGTTGTTATTGCTGTGTGCCGATGAATCACAACCAATTCATAGCTGACCCTCCAGTGGGTTTTCACAGGTGGTTAACTGCACAGGAGAAGATTGCCCATCCTGATCCCTTAGAGTAACTGGGGGTTTGAACCATGTGCCTTCGGGATTGCAGCGCAGCTTCTTAACTCTAGGCCACCAGAGCTCCCTTCGCTCTGTTATGTTCAATATGATCTGTAGTATGTTCAATACTCCTCTCTAGCACTACAACTCAAAGGCATCACTTCTTCTCCTGCCATCCTTATTCACTGTCCAGCTATCAGATGCATAGCAAGAAACTGAGAAGACCATGGCTTGGATCAGGCACACCTTAGTCTCTAGACTGACATCGTTGCTTTTTTAGCATCCTTGAGAAGTCCTTGATAACAGACTTTCCTGAAGGAATTAATCTTTTGTCTTCCTGACTTCTAGTGCTATGGGTGGTGATTGTGGATCTGAGCAAGATGAAATTGTTAATAATCTCAATCTCACAGTCACTCACTGGCTGAAACCGGTTCTGACTCCATCTTATATAACTGCAGCCACCACAACCCACTCCTGTGCCCCAACTTCCTTCAAATCCATTCTCAGAAACAGAGGCCAGAGTTTTCAGACAGACAACAAACCTGGACGCATCAGTGCCCACGCCCTTTGCCGTTACTTGTAGCCGTGACCTCTCTAGTATCAATTCTTAGCCTACTTCCTCTAGAATTCCAACTCCCCAAGTTCTCCAACCCTCCAAGAAGCTACAGCTCAATGATGCTGGCACCTGTTCACTGTCACTATACCCAGCTCACAGTCCGAGTCCGGCCCTCTGCCGAGCCGTGCGCCTCTGTGCCTGTCTCTCCCTCTGGTTCTTGCAAAGCCCGTCCTAGCTGCTCTTACCTGCACCTGTACGACGGGCATCTCAGGTCTGCACACGGCCGCACCGACTGTAAATTAACCGTGGGCCACACAGTTCCTCAGTGCTGCTCCGTGACCTGACCACACGGCTTCGATCTGTGCATTTCCCCAACTCTTCTGGGCAAAGCTTGTTCCCCATTTCACATAAATACAGAAGCAGCTCAAGAGAACGTCCTCAGTCTCCTTCCACACCTACAACCTTCCTGTGTTCACACCCAGTGTGTCCCTTTCCTTCAGGAACCAGGGGCACCATCCAGAAAGCTTCCTTCTACTTCCAGGGAATATAACCCAGGGAGGCTTTTGCTCTCACCGCTCCTGTAAAACAGCTCTTGTGGAGTTTATACCGAGTTGAAGGCTTTGCTGGCACAGCCAGAGCTGCCCAAACTGAAGGGTCCCTCAGATTCACCTGGACACCTCTTCCAATGAGGTCCCTGGACCCCCTGCCCTCCCCACACTCATGTTCAGTAAGGGCAGGCTGGGGATTTACATTTCAACTTGGCATATTTGATGAAGTCTCCTCCCCACCCAGACATGCATGTCCTAACTCCAGTAATGCCTGCACAGATGAAGTCATGCTCACTGGAGCAACTACACAGATCCAGGCTCCAGCCCTGTCTCCCTCTGAGGGTCCCTTACGGGCTAGTGTCACTCTGGGATCATTCTCTCAGCCTGTGCAAGAAGGTGGCTGGCCTTGATGTCCCAGATATTTGTGCAGAAAACATCCCCATCTGCAGATATACACAAAATCCCTTCCAACAGCAGAGGTACAGAGACTCATGGGCAGACGCACGTTCAAAGGCAGACGACCTACAAGCGTGCATAGCAGATTCAGTGACATGTGTGTACACTATCACTCCTCCCCAAGGTCAACAACACACACACATATGCACACAAACAGAAGCAGACAGACACACTCCTTCTCTGGAGTTTTCCCGGACTAGCTCTATAAGAAGATGTTCTTGGACAAGAAAACCATTTTGAGGGCCTGCGGTGAAGGGGGAAGAAACAGGAAACCCAGATGTTGGATCCTCCAGAACTGTGCTGGGAATGGAGACAAGACGGAGTGAGGGTTCTCGGGCATGGGCCTGGTCTGCTGGGTCCTTCCTGCAGCCTTGAAACTGGCATAGGGCAGGAAGGGGGCTGCTGCCACATCCTCTTGGCTTCTGGGAGCTGCCAGGCTCAGGTCTGGCATGGGTCTCAGCGGAGAGGGGGCTGGGCCATCGGCTCCTTCCAGGAATCCCAGGCCTGTTGAGAGGGGCAGGGCGAGCACCACCCGGGCCCCTAATGGCTTCCAGTCACCCACGCTGAACGCTGGACTGGGGGCTCCCGGCTCAGCTCCTGTTCCTGTTCCCAGTTTGGCGGCCCTCTTGGGGGTTGGAGGAGAAGGATGGAGAGGAGAGATGTAGAGTCAGCTCTCTAACTTCCCTCCTGATGGTGTGTGGGAAGGGACTGCCTAAGGCTGGTTTTCTAGGGAAGCCTCCATCCCAACACAAGGCCTTCTGTACACCCATAGAGAACCAACGACAAACAGGCCCTGCCTGGCAACACCTGTCCCTCCTCCCTCTCACACAAACCCACCCTGGGGAGACACTGAGACGGAGCAAAGGCACAGTTCACAGTTTACACTCAGCACTGGTG